GGTTCTTCGTAGTTATTTCCTCAGATTCACTGACAAGTTCAAAAAAATGACTTAAAAGTTGATCAGATCTCAACATCCGCTGATGTCAGAGGTCATGTAACACTACAGTCCAAAATACTTCACCGTGCTCATCAGTCAAAGGATCAAATACTGAGGCTGCTTTTTTAGATCATCAGTTCTGCCATCTAGTGGTGAAACAAGAGGCCCGGAGGCTTGTGTCATTTATTATAATACATGAAAAACTGGGGCTTAGCCAGTGGACTCTCCCCTCTGCTGTTATTACTGTAACTGGAAATCACCTGCTTCTCTGCATTTAGCAATTTCCTTCAGGTGGAAAATTTTAAAAATCACTCTCAAGTAAAAATGAACATTTTTGTTAGACCGAGCTGGGAAATGTTTCTTTGGTTCTACACTTCTATGCTTACATTAAGAGTTTTTTTAAAATAAGAAAATGTACATATTTTTAAAGAAATGTAATTATGTGGTAATTTTCTATACTTTTCCAAGCTGAACATTGGAAATAAGGCAAGAAGAACGAACATTCATGTTAAAAAGTGCAGATCAGGACAAATCTAAAAATATGTCCATCTGTCTAAGAGGTAAAAACCGAATGCAACACGTAATCTTAACAAATAGGTGGTCAACATTTTTTCTGCTGGTACTTTTTTTCCATTTGTCTTTTTCTTTGTTTTTAAATGCAGCTGAGAAAGAGCTGGTATTTCAGATATGATATCTAAACGGGTATTAATTAGTATCTTTGCATTTTCCATCAAGCACAGCACTCGGTGAAATTACACAAACTATTGCTGCTGTGCAGGAGGCTGTGTAACGCCTGCACGCCGGCTATGATGGTGAAAATAAGCAGATATTTCCTTTTAATCAGTACTGCACACGGAGCTGCAGACTAGATCAAAATTAAACGAGACCCACAACGATAAAAAACAATAAGGAATCTGATGAGCGTCACCTTTTCAGATCGAGTTCCCTTCATGGTAATGGCGGTGGTGACAAAGTCGATCATCTCGTCCTCCTCCATGATCAGCTGGTACTTCTCCTGCTCCTGCTTCATTCCTTGCTCTCGCTCCTTCTTGGCCCCAAAGCTGAGGGAGGCCGTCTTCAGCCTCTCCTCCTCCCAGCGACCCTGCTCTCCTCCCAGCTCCATGGGGGTTTCCTCCAGCTCCAGGTCCCTCTGTGGCACCTCCTGTAAGTGTGGAGAGACGGTAAATATATGGACAACTGCAGTCAGACGAGTTTCTACATGTGACATTCCTCGTTCCCACCTTTCTTCTATTCTCTTCCGGCATGTAGTATCTGTTCTTTCTCTCCTCCTGCTCCTTGGCACCGGCCTTTTTGTAATCTTTAGCTAGATCCCGAATGGTGCGTTTGTATTCCAGCTCCTTCCTCTCCTTCTCTGTCAGCTCCTCAGTGGAGAAGAGGTACTCGTCATCCACGATCTCTGCCTCCAGGTCCTCCAGCTTCTCCGACTC